GAAAGAAAGAAAGAAAGAAAGAAAGAAGGAGAGGGAAGGAGAAGGAAGGAGAGAGAGAGAGAAAGGAAGGAGAGGGAAGGAGAAGGAAAGAGAGAGAGAGAAAGGAAGGAAGGAGAGGGACGGAGAAGGAAAGAGAGAGAGAGAGAAAGGAAGGAAGGAGAGGGAAGGAGAAGGAAGGAGAAGAGAGAGAGAGAGAGAGAGAGAGAAGAAAGGCCTGAGTGGTCCTAGTCATGAAGGATCCTGCACAGAAGAAATGGAGAAATGTGTTTACCACCTCTCAGAAACCTTCCAAAACCTTAATTGTGATGCTTCTTGATTCAAACTCAGAGTTGTACCTGTTGCTTCCAACTTGACCTTGACCCCGAATTGTACCCGATACTTCCTCAACAAATAACATAACTGTCATTACGATCTGCCTGGTCTCTGTGACCAGTGAGGAGAATCCTTGCACCCAGCAGAAAGGTGGAGTGCTTGGCAGGGAAGGCTGAGGTGAAACATTTAAAAGGAAAATCGAGGACTGATGTGCCTGACATCCACCACGTAGGATCCAGATTCACGTTGATCCCGAGACTTCATGCTTTGGGAATCCAGCTTTGCTCCAAGGTTACATTGCGCTGGACCCACATAGCTACAGGGTAATGACAGGTTGACATTTGAATGACTATCCAGGCAAGGGACTGGCCAGTGGCTGAACTGGAACCATCCAAGGTCATTATAGGACAGTGGACATCTCTGTCTTTGGGAAGGTGGTCAGTGGATAAAATTCTTTCTTTGTTCATCAGTGAAAAGCATCAACTTGTCAGAATTCTGTAACAACCATTCAATTTCATGTTTTGTGGTTTTTTTTTATAAATTCTTTCTTTGTCCCTCTTGGAGGTTTCTTGTCACCATTCTGATCCACCAAGAACTGGTCACATGAAATCTGTGCCCCCTAAATTTCCCGCAGCGCTGAGGTCCAGGATGGGCTGAGAATTTTCCTGCAACGGGTGGTTGGGGGGCTGCCAGGCACTTGCCTATTCCAGAGTCTTACTGTGGTTGTTAAGTGCTACCAAGTCGAGCACAACTCAGCAGCTCTCTGAACAACCGGTATGAGCCCTGTCCTCCCCTGTGCCATCCTCCAGATCCCGGAGCACCCCCCAGATTTTCTCATTCACTTCCACATAGCTGTTGTTTGGACCCATCCAGTCAACCTCCAACTCACAGAGACCCTCTGAACAATAGCTCTGAATCCTGTCCTGTCCTGTGCTTCCTCGTCCTCTCTGACATGTTCAAGCCCATTCTTATAGTCACTGTGTCAAACCGTCTTGTGTACGGTCTTCCTCTTTCTCTAACCCTCCACGCCTCCCAGAAAAAAAAAATCTTTCCCTCTCCTGACAACATGCCCGAAGTATGTGAGACCGAATTCCACAATCCTTGTCTCTGGGAGCATCCTGGTGGCACCTTGGTCATCTTCCCTTTGACCCAACAGGATCCCAGTTTTGCCAGGGATGCCAACATCTTTCCATTTAAAAAAAGGCATGATTGGGACATGATCCAAGCGCTCGTGAGTCGTGGAAAACACCCAGCACTGGGATCCAAATCTTATCTTAAGACCCTCATAGCCCCTCTAAAGTCATTTCTGAGCCCTCACCACACTAGCTTATTTGAAATATCAGTGGCTGGCACCTCCCCATCACAGAATGCAAGCTGCCCTCCTCTTCAAGTCCCAGCTGATCCTCATTTCCTGCCTGGTCTCCAGTGCAATTGCAGAATCGTCTCATGCAAAGGATATGTGTGAGGAGAGGGCGGGGCTTTTCCTCTGCTTGTTCAACCTACAGCATAGTTCAGGGACCACTCTCAGCTCAAAGTCTCCTGGGTGTGGGGCGTGTGGGAGATCTCCACCTTCGCACTTACCATCACTCACCAGCATCTCCACAGGATTGCTGTCTCTGGACCAGATGGATGGCTTGCCCCTGAGCGTATAGCGACACGTGTACCTTCCTCCCTCCTGAATGAAGACCGTGGAAGATATTGACTCGGGTGATTTGTAAAGCATGGATGTCATCTGTATCGTACGTCCTTCCCTCAGCAGGATGAACTTGACATCTGAGAGGTCCGCTGTACACAACAGGCTCACCAGGGTCCCTGGTGTGAGGATCACTTGGTTACTCTGCTTCTGCAACCTGGGTGCTGGGAAGAAATCTGGAAGGAAGACACAGATTATCAATGTCTTGTTGACCTGCCTTGGGACCTCAGGCCACGGTGTCTCTTTGCATCTCTCCCCCTGCACCACCCACAGGCACTAGCTCTGTCTGACTCCAAGCTTCCTGGTATCTGCATCTCAAGCTCTAGGGAGATGATGCTCACCCAGTTCCTCAATGATCACCGTCTGGCTGGGCTCGGAGCGCAGACCTGAGCTGCTGGTCTCATAGCTGCAGCTGTAGCTCCCAGGATGGAGGATGTAGAATGTGCCGATGAAGGATGTTGGGACGTACTTCCTCATGAACTTGGGGTCTTCCACTTTCCTTAGCACAAAGGCCACTTCTTTCAGGGGCCCATGGCAAACAAGTTTGGTTGTCAGCCCAGGGATCAGCCAGGGGCCAGGATCAGCAGAAAGTGTTGGTGGAGGGAGGATCTCTGTAACACAGGGGCTGGAGGTGACCAGAAGGTCCATGATGCCACTTCCTCCCTCATCCAGGGTACAAAATGGAAACACTGAGGATGGTCAACCTTTTTTCTACTCATACCAGGTTCACTGACCTTAATCTCTGGCAAAAAAACATCTGGCTAGTGCTTTAAAACAGATCTCTGACACTTCAAGGAAAATAGAACACAGACACACACACATGGAAATCTGTACACTGATGTTCATGGCACTTTTGTTCACAATCGCAAGAAAATGCAAACAGCCCAAATGTTCATCAACAAACCAATGGAATGAGACATTGTGGTACATTCACCCGATGGAGTGCTGTGTAGCACATAGAAGCGACCGTTAAAAAAAAATACTATCTCGATGGGAGAGGATAGAGAGCATTATGCGGAGTGAACTAACTCAGTCTCATAAGAACAAATACTGTATAACACCAATATTGTAAAAACAGAAGGATAACTAGGTAAAATATGTATAAAAGTCCAAAGGGGTTAGGAGTATGGGCAAGGGGGCTGAGGGTGAGGAAGGGGGTGGGGAATCACAGCGTCACAGAGTCTGGTGGTCAGAGAGAGGGCGTAAAGGAATTAGGAAATCTCCATTGAAGGTTTGAAAAGATAGGGTAAGAGTGGGCAGAGAAAGATGGGGATTAATTATGTAAAATAGCATATGGGAATGAACAGAAGAAACACAAAGTGGATAAAGGCGTGTGTTAAACACAATGTATATGAATGAAACACTATGTAAATGAAACAAAATGCATATAACTGAAACTACAATGTATATAAATGAAACACAAGGTATATGAGCAAAACACAATGTATAAAAATGAAACACAAGGTATATGAAAAAAACACAATGTATTGAAACACAATGTATATAATTGAACCACAATGTATATAAATGAAACGACAATGTATATAAATGAAATGACACTGTATATGAATGAGACACAATGTATATGAGTGAAACACAATGTACATAAATGAAACACAATGTATGTAAATGAAACTACAATGTGAAATACAATATTTATGAATTTGTAGTCAAACAAAAATTTTTAAAAACCTACAAAATCCCGGATCTTGGAGCTCATTTGAACCAATTAGTGCTGGATGACGAATTACAATCGAAAGAAACCTGCATGTCAAGAAACACCGGAGCCACCAGAGGCAGGAGAGAAACAGTGAACACATTCTGTCTCAGGGCTTCCTGGAGGAATCAGCCTCGCTGATAACTCCATCTCGGATGTCCGAGCTTGAGAACTGTGAGAGTATACATTTCTTTCCTCATAAGCCCCTCAGTTTGTATTCATTTGTCTGAGAGTTCAACCGGGAAAGAAGTGGAGAGGGAACAGAGGTGGATAAAGGGGGAAAATAACAGAGGAGAGAGAATTGGAGGAAACAGGGCCAAGAATGTGAACAGAGGCCAGCGGGGCAGAAGAGGGGCTGTGGGAATAGGAGAGACATACTCCTTTTTTTTTTTTTTTGGGAGACATACTCCTAGCTCTCTGCCATTCCTATCTCTTTCTCCTTCTCTTTACCACTCCTCAACATCTTTAGTTTCTTTAGTAGGGGGTCTCCCCTGAGGCCAAGGCTCACCTCTGCCAGTCAGCTCCACCGGGTTACTAAACTGAGACCAGTAATCTAAGACGTAATAGCGGCACCTGTAGAGTCCTCTGGTGGCCTCTGTCACCTTTCCCAGGGCAAACCCAGGTTCTGAGCCGGGGGGCTTGACGGGATTGAGGTGGAGGGCCACTCCATCCTTGTGCAGCTGCGCCTTGTCGTCTCCAAGGGTGGAGCACCTTAGGGTCACGTTGTCCCAGGGATGGGCGAGGGATTCGGCCTCAATCCAGAGGGTGGGTCTGTCTTCTGGATCTGGAAGGCAGCAGGGCTGAGGTTTCCTGGGATGAAATTCTCAGTGGTCAGCTTTCTCCCCCTACACCCTCACCCCCCATCATGTTCATTCCCTAGAAAGGCCAGGGTCCTACGTACTAAATCCAAGGCGGAAGGAGTTTCCCCAGGAGAACCCTGCAGGAGACAGAGAGTGGGGTGAGCTCGTGTCCTCCCAGAAGGACCTCCAGGGTCAAGTTCAGTGACACCCAGGTGCCCAGTTCTCACCCAGGAGCAGTAGCCCCACAGTCACGGCAGCCGGGATTTCCTGTGCTCCTCCATGGCTCCCCTTTCCACAATGGGGGGCTCTGCCCATTGTGGTAATCCGCTCAGCAGAGGAGAGAGAATAACTGGCTGCGGTTCTGGGCAGAAGCTGAAGGCCTTTGCAAGGTTTCGTCCTCTGAGATCACCCGACGAGACTTCAGAGGGCAGCGATCCTGGGGGGTGGAGTGGGGTCATCTCCAGGGCTCAAATACCACCCACTATTTACATGGGCCTCATATCAGGCAGGATGTGGCTAACAGCAATGTTATATCAGCGGGGTGAAAAGGCGGCTGACACGGGCAGGTCTGATTCTGGCCCCTTCTGGAAGCTCTAGAAGAATGCATTGCCCGGGCTCGTCCAGATACCAGAGGCCATTTCTCGTGGTTGCTGTGAAGCTGAACACTGTGACCCTGATGTGTCAAATGCGAGAATGGTTATCCTTGGTTATGGGAAGCCACATTTTATACTCAATATTTGTGTTTTTTTTAATTGCCAGGGGCATTTATTAAGGAAATAATAAAATGCCAACCATATTTAAATCCCTTTTTTTAAAAAGGGGATTTATTTTTGGCTTAAAATTCTTTACTCAAAATGAAATTTATGTCAGCTCTCAATGAAAGAACATCACTAATAATACATTGTGGACACCTTTTGCAATGTAAATCCATGCCTCCCCTTTTTATTTTTGCATGGTGAACTTCAACCTAGCAATTATTACAACAAATGTTATAATCTAAAGCTCCAACACATTTTAGCAATTTTGAAATTGAATTGCGTACAAACCAAATAAAATTTACATCATAAAACATTCCCATCTAAGACGGTGGGGACACTTGAGCCTTCCTCATTGACCTCAGGGCCTTTTCACGTAGGTGCTTTTCTAAGTCGTCAAGGTTGCCTTCAGCTTCACTTTCAGTCTCCTTCTTGGGCTCTGCCTCTGCCTCTGCCTCTGCCTGTGCTGCTGTGTATACTCAATATTTGTAATCAACAGAACACTGCTTCAGGTTGTGAGGGAGGCTGGTATCAGCTGGAGTGAATCCTGCAGCACCAAGACAATCCTTAAGCGTTTACAGGATTTTTGCATCGCCCCTCCCTCCTGAGTTAAGCAGAAGGTTGTCAACAGAGAAAGCGTAGCGTCACCTGTGTTGGATTCTCTTTGCGATTTACTTGCTGGTGGTTTTCAATAAAGATACAGGAAAGCTGGAATCGGCAGGCAGTTCCCTTCAGTGGTTCGAGACCTGTTCGCCTCCTGCTTTACCTCTGTTTTTCTCCTCATTCCTGGTGTTCTATCTCATTATTACTGTTTATAAAAATACTCTGCCCTTGGTCTGCAACACCTGGTAGACAGTGTTTGGTGGAGCTCCCCCATTAAAACAAGCTTGGAAGCAGGAGTGGCATCCACTTCCATAATAGCTTGCCTCTGGAAACCCTATGAACCTGGAGAAAGGACAAAAGTTATACAGGTGTCCAGGTCTTTCGTTCATAGGGTCTCTATGAGTCACCTCTGACTTGACAGCACTTAACAACAACAACAACAACAACAACGAGAGACATCAGTTGGCCTAGTGGATAGAAAGCCATGCTCCCAAGCCAAAGGTGGGTGACTCTAATCCGCAGCACTCAGGCCTGCCTTTGCTTGTTTTTAGTGAAACATTCTTCTAGGTCATGTAACCCTTGTCTGTCCAGCTGAACACTGTGACACTGATGTGTCAAATGTGATAGTGGTTATCCATGGTGGACAGTGTTTGGTGGAGCTCCCCCATTAAAACAAGCTTGGAAGCAGGAGTGGCATCCACTTCCATAATAACTTGCTTCTGGAAACCCTATGAACCTGGAGAAAGGACAAAAGTTATACAGGTGTCCAGGTCTTTCGTTCATAGGGTCTCTATGAGTCACCTCTGACTTGACAGCACTTAACAACAACAACAACAGAGGTCACCTATGTTTCTAGGATTGTGACTATTTTCTCGTGTCACTCCTCCCTCTTGCATTTGCCCTCACATCTCCTGACTCAAGTCAGCTCCCTGCCCGGTTTCAGGAGCCTTTGCGATTCCACCAGACACACCTGGTTCATGCAGAATCATCCACCCAGTTCAAAATTCTTCACGACATCAAATCTGCAAGATTTATTACATGGGAGGAAGTTTGGTCACAGATTCTGGCATTAGGGACATGGAACACTGTTGGGCCACTGTTGAGCAGACCACAGATGCCAGGAGAACCCCTGAGGTGTGGCTTGTCCTGCCCTGAGCTGACACGAAGCCATGAGAGCAAGGAAGACTCTTCCTAACCCCAAACACTATCTAATTACTGAAAGCTCTTGTCTCTCGCTTCCCAGGGTCCCTCGCCAAGTTCACGCTGACCTTGGTGTCCAAAGACCTGAGTTTAACCATAGGCAGTGACCTGGTCCTGCCATGCCAGGGTCCACTAGCTAGAGCCATGTTCCTGCTGCCCCAGGACACCACACAGCACCCCCTCTCCCTGCACGTGGTAATCTCCGCTGGACACAGCATGAATTTCAGGATCCCGGATACAGGGCTGTGTGTGTGTGTGTGTGTGTGTGTGTGTGTGTGTGTGTGTGTGTGTGTGAGAACTACACCTCCCTCTACCTGTAGACAGGAATGGGCACTCAGGATCTGGACTGAGTGACCACCTGGAGCTGTCTGTGAGGGTTAAGATTCCCAGGTGGGATGGACAGGTGTGGGGCATACGGCTTTATCTCCATGAACATAAGGCTATTTAAGACTTGAACTCAGAGCTCTGTGTCTTTTCTCATACCTGCATCATCTCCCATACCACCGGCATCACCTCAGGCAGGTTCCATGCTTGCTCAGCTGTAGCCAGACACTCCCTATAGGGCTTCCTAACTCCACCAGAAGGGGTTCACTTTTGAGGTTCAAACGTCGCTATTCTTGAAGTCAAGCCTTCGCCATGCCGTACACCGCCGGCAGCGGGGGACGTTGCAGACTCTTCCCACAGTCCAACCACCCAATGCAATCCATTCATTTGAACACTGGTTGGTCTGACTCCTGGTGTCTTGGTTATGTAGTGCTGTTGTAACAAAAACACCACAATTGAGTGGTTTAACAAACAGAAATTTATGTTCTCGTAGTCTGTTGTTATTATATTGACTGTGACTTACAGCAGCCTTATGCAAAATAGCTCCGAACTCTGCCCTATTCTGAGCCAATCTCACGGTCTCCTACACACCGACTCGCATTACCCTAGTTACTGTGTCGATTCATCTCATCCAGGGTCTTCCCCTTCTGCGCTGTCCCTCAACCCTTCCAAGCATGATGTCCTTCTCCAAGGACCGGTCCCTCTTGGCAACATGCCCAAAGTAACTTGCCTCCAAAGAGCAACTTGGTTTCACTTTCTCCAGGTCAGACCTGTTTGTTCTCTTGGCTGTCCGTGGTATGTTCAACGCTCTTCTCCAGTACCACAGCTCAAAGGCATTGATTCTTCTTCTGTCCTCCTTAGTCATTGTCCAGCTCTCTGATACAAAGCAAGTAATTGCAAATCCCATGGCCTTAGTCTCTCAGGCACACCTTAGTCTCTAGACTGACACGGTTGCTCTTTAGCACTCTGGAGGGCTTCCCTGACAGCAGATTTTCCCAATGCAATTTGTCTTTTGATTTCCTGGCTACTAGTGTTGATTGTGGAACCGAGCCGACTGAACGTGTTAATAACCTCCATCTCTTCTCCATCTCTCATGGTGCTGCCAGTTGGTGCAGTGATGAGAATCTTTGTTTTCTTGATGTTGCTCTTCAATCCATATTGGAGACTAGAGCCTAGAAATCTATTATGAGATCACAGGCTACAGATCTGAATTCAGGATACCGGCTCTCAGGAAAGGCTTTCTCTTTATTGTCCGCTCTGGAGGAAAGCCTTTGTCTCCATTCAGCATGTGTAGACCTAGCGTTCCTTGACACCTCTGGGTGTCTCAGCTTGGAAGGATGGAGGAACAGCGCAGGAGAGGAAGAACCCTGGAAGAGATGGATTGAGACAGTAATTAGGGTAATGGCGGTAGGTGTGTTGGAGTCAGTGAGATTGGGACAGGATAGAGCAAGTGTCAGACCAATTGATCATAGTGTCTCAATGACTCACAGGTGACTTAATGGCACCTAAGAACAACGTTAAGCACGCAATATTATTATGAAAAAGGTAAAAATATTGCAAGAATAACCAAAGTGGGATGCAGAGAGATGATGTGAGTACACCTTGTTGGAAATATGGTGCTGGTTGACTTGCTTGGCTCAAGCTTGCCGTAGATTTCAGTATCATTATTCACTCTCTGCATAGCTCAGTAGCAAAACAAAACAAAAACAACAAATAAACAAAAAACTGGAGGAATGACGTACAGTATGCTTGGTGTGCCTGTGTATGGAAGCTTTCTATGTTGTGAACATGTCATTGTATTTCATTTAAATTCAGGTCAAAGTACAGACAGGCAGTATCCTATGTAACCTAGTCCAACACTCATGTCCCCAATGCTACTTACAATGTTGCTCTCCTCCCATCCACCTGGAAATTGGCAGAGGGAGGGTCAGCTTGGGAACAAGATAAAAGTGAGTAGTCTCTATTCAGTTGGTGAAGCCAAGTCTTTGAGGAAGCGGAGCTGAGCCCCGTGACGCATGTTGTCCTGCCGTCCTCCAACTCTGCCACTGAAGCTCTCGCTGCAGTCAGTGTGGAAAAGCACCGTGGATCCCAGCCAAGATGGGACTTTGTGGCGTATCATCTTGATCCTAGACGTGCAACTTGAACTCCTGGTGGGGGAGGTGGGGAATGAATCAGGCAAATGCAGAGCAGAGTTCAGGCTGTCCCATAAGGGGCCCCATGACACAGGGAATCCACAGTTGCTGCTTTTGGAAGGGGGATTGTCCATCAAGTTAGAGAACAGTGGCTCTGCGGAGCTTGGTGTGCTAATGGACTGACTCACTCTGAGTCTTAACCGCCACCAAGTCTTTCACATCCTTTCTCTGTCCCAATGCCATTTCCTGCAGACACACAGACACCCACTCACTCCTTCAACAGTTGCTGCCTGGGGTCTCC